TTGTTTTGTTTCAGCTCACTGTACATGCAGCAGAAATTGTTCCAGTTGGTTCAGCCCATTTTGGTTATGGTTAGCCCACTTTGGCAAGCCCAGACTGGCTCATGGTGAAAAATGTAGCGGTTAAAATAGTATTGTGTGGCTTTGACCTGTGATGGGAACTTTTAGAAGGGGAAAGCCTTTAGCTCTTTTTCCCTGGCAGAATGCACTTGTTTTTCCATTGCAGTGCACTATCCACTCTCCAAATCTGGTATGTGGGATATGGAAGGAGAAAAGCTGCAGTGCAGAGCAGTTTAAGGAAACTGGGTGATGCCTCTGCTGATCTGCGAGTCAATGACTAATGAAGGAGAGGAAGACTAACAGGCTCTGCCCTGAGCACAGTCTGTCAGGGAATATCTATTTAGTTTTGTGGATAAGTTTGGAAGGGTTCATTTCCAGTTTGAGTTTGGCAGTACTCTTTAAATGGTGTTGGTTTTGTTTGTGTAGTGGTAGTGGACAAAACTGTTCCAGGTTCTTACTTAATCTCCTTGTTTTCTGGTCTCTGTGCCTTTTCAGTGCAGAGGTTAAAGCTTGAAGGAGGGAGGACATTAAACATTGTTATGTCTTTCATCTCTCAATATATATTGTCTCTTAATCAAGTAGTAATTGAACAATGCAAACTAAAATAGGGATACTTTATCAGAGAAACAATTGGCTTAAAAATAGACTTTTGTCTTTTTTTCTAGGTGACTTACTAGGGCTTCCTGATTCTTTTTCCTTATTTTTGAAATTGACAAAAAACATTGCCCAAGTATTGTTTTCATTTAAAATTTTGTGCCCTGCAGCCATTTAAAGTCTAGTTATAAAGTGTCATAAGTTCAGATTGAACTTACACTTATTTTGAAAACAACTTTTAAAAGTATGTTTTAAAAAAATCAGACTTCAAAAATGAATGGCTTATGCTATGATTCAGTACTCAAATGGCACAGTCTTCTAAGCAACATATAGTAATAAAAATAAATGGTGGACCAACTAACGTATTGTCTGTGTTAACACAAAGCTGAATAAAACTTGCTTGACTTATGATTCCATCAATACTATCAAGATTGCTTTTAATGAAACTATAAGGAAAAAAACACAAGTGAATGTCAGCAACCCTGAAAAAGGCAACTCTGACAGTTGTCAATACCTTTGTGTGTGTGTGTGGCTGATAGAGTTCTTTAAGAAGTTCACAAATCTGTATTTTAATTTTTTTGAATGATAGCTGTTCAAAGTCTTCCAGGTTGCTCTGAATAAATGCTATACATGTTAAAAAAATGCCCTAAGAAAAATAATGGTAAGCTCTAAGTCAAGTTGGTTGAACTTCTGTACCTCCACATTTTACTTCACTTAGGCTTGCTGACAGTTCCCAGACTGTACAGTCAGGTTAGCAGAGACCATTATCTGGAAAACCAAGTGGATTTTGGTTCCAATGACTACTAAAGGCTACTTTCTTATAATCAAGTCTGGAAATACAAAATGTATCTCAGTAGTTCTTTTGTGTTTGAAAGAAGACTGTAAGGCAGCTTTTAGTGTGCAGAGTGAATCCTTATATTGAAATGTCTTTGAACTTTAGTAAAATGCTATCCCTCCTGCCTCCTCTTTAGCAAACTTCTGTGTGCATTCTGTCTTCAGCCTTGAAGCCTCCAAGATTGTTGTTCTTCGGAACTAGATGTGGGGTTTGTGTTTCACAGCCTGAGAAGTATTGGTACCCTTTCCAATATTCATTTGTTCTTTCAATTATGTTGTAAGAGCCTTGCTCATTGTTAAAGTACCTAGATATTTTTATTTCTACTTTTTGCAAATTAGAAAGTGGAAAGGGCAAAGTTGTGAGAATTGAATCTTCAGGTTTGGGTCCTTTTACCACAGAGGAATATAGAAGAGTAAGTGAAGAAAAGAGCATATTCTGTCTTCCTTCCATCATCTGCAAGAAGATCATCTTCACTGTCCTATTGTTTTGTAATGTTAGACTGCCAGAGGTTTTTTTATAACAATACTGTATGTATTTTTTTATTTTTTTAAAACAATCTGCCAGGAATGGTTGCTATAACAGAATTCTTCGGATTCTTTTAAACAGTAGTCTAATACTGTATTTTTTTTTTTTCCCCGTTTCATATGCCTACTTTTTCTACTTATTTTTTCCCCTCTTTCTTGCCTGATTTATAAAGACTCTGCTCTTCTGCTCTGGCAACTCTGTTATGGATTTTCTTCTTCCTTTGCCAAGAACATGGTGGACTGGGAAGATATTCATGAATACAACCCAAACTGAGTTTGAATACCAGCCAGTGAAAGGGAGAAACTTGGGTTAGTCTGTAAGTACAGAACACAAATATGAGCATAAATCACTGCCTATGGTTTACTCCATAATTGTCCTTTCTCTTAAATGTAGCATCTATCTTCTACTAGTTGTTCTTGTAAACAAGTACTCTTCTTGCTAAAATTTTGTTCTGTCTTAGTTTGGCAGTTTTTAAGTTCACACGTTTTTTCTCTAATGCATATTTACAAGTAAAAATTCTGTAATCTAACCAAACTAGACAGAAATTCAACTTTTGAATATGTTTGTAAGTAAAGAGTTTTCCATTACCATAGGTGACAGTTCTGAAAGCAACTGCCATTAATAAATGGTGGAAACTGCCATTTGTACAAGATACTGATGCTTTAATCTTATTATTTTCATCCCCAAATCAACATTAATTAACACCTGTGTGACTGTTTCTTGTTTGTGCTTATTCGGTTACTATATAAATTACCATTTGACTACGAAGTAACACAGATAAGCTGTGCCTTTTTTTCGCAATTGGTGTTGAACCATTCATGCTTCAGTGGCTTTCAAAAAGTCATCTCAATGGGGATTTTTTTTTTTTTCATTAAGTAGCATGCTATTGTTTCATCCAACACTTTTCTCATTCATTCCTAAGTAAGACTCTGTATTTTGATGTTAAGGTGGGAAAGAGCAATATAATGCCAACTGGTATTCCTTTTCTTTTCCCCCTTGAAGATAACTCAAACAGAACGTTGCAACAATAGAGTTGTCTTCTTCTAGACAATAGTTAACAACATCACAGTTTTGAAAACAACAGAAGGGTATTTCTGTGTTTGAACTTTGAAAGCCCTTTAAACTTAACTGAATTTGAAGAAGAGATGAACAGTCTAGCTGTGTGGCATTGTTTATTAGAGTTGAAAGCAGAGAGGATTTTGTACCATTTATGTATTGGGAAAGGTTATTAATTACTGATGATGCTTCTTATGGGGCTAAAAGTATTACTGGATTTAAGGCCAGGGAAAATTCTTTCCTTAGAATGTGTTGGCAGGATGCAGTAGTAGGGGCACCAATACAAGGAAATACATTTCAGCATTTGTTAGGGCCATACCGCACAGCAGAACTTCTACAAATCCCAGGCAAGAGATTGTTATATTAAAATCACTTTCAGTATGAAAAGACCTAGGTTATTATATATAAAGAGATTTTAAAAAAACCCCAACACTACAACCAAACCCACACTCAAATTCTTCCTTAGACCACCCCCTTGCAGGCAAAAACCCACCAATTAGCTATTTATAATAGATCTTCTGACCTTTTAGTAATTTGTTATAAGTCTTGTAGATCAAGTGTGGTATTTTAGAGGAAATCTTTAAGCTGTGAACCATGTTTTGCTTTGGAATAAGTGCCCTAGAATTTTAAATATTACCCCTTCAGAAGTGAGCCTGTTCGCAGACTTTTTATGCAAGTTTTACTTCTAGTATCCACTTGTAAATTCTCTGCTCTCAAGTGATTTGCTTTTTTGTCAGTAAGCGGATCAGTATCTTCTAACTTCACACATGTATCAAAAGAACTACCATTCTAATTGGCTGTGCTGCTGTATTTGAAATTCTAAGAAGGATTAACTACAGAGAAGCATATAAGTTCTGGGGGGTTTTGTTGGTTTTGTTTGGTTTTGGCTTTGTTTCCCCTGTGCCTGAAAAAATAACATTGCAGCATTTGGAAGATCACTATTCTATAAGCTGGACTTTCCAGCAGGTTGAAGGAGGTGATCTTTTCCTTCTACTCAGCACGGTGAGGCCGCACCTGCAGTCATGTGTCCAGTTCCAGGCTCCTCAGTAAAAGAGAGACATGGACATACTGGAGAGAGTCCAGCAGCGGGCCACAAGGATGATTAAGGGACTGGAGCATCTCGCATCAGAGAAAAGAGCAAAGTGCAAAGAGGACAGAGCCAGGCTCATCTCAGTGGTGCCCAGTGGCAGTGGGCACAAACTGAAATACGGGAGTTTCTCTCAGAACATCAGGAAACACTTTTTCACTGTGAAGGGTAACTGAGCCCTGGCACAGGCTGCCGAGGGAGGAATCTCCATCCTTGCAGATACTCAAAAGCCGTCTGGATATGGCCCTGGGCAACTGGCTCTAGGTGGCCCTGGCTGAGCAAGGGGGTTGGACCAGGTGACCTCCAGAAGCGTCTTCCAACCTCGACCATTCTGCCATTCTGTGACTTTGCAGTTCGGAAACTGCAATGTTGGAATTTGTGATCTATTCAAAATACAGCTTCCTCTTAGTTTTTACTGTATGAATGATGGTGGTCCCTTAACAAGTGGTTATTATTGAGCCTTGAATGTTAGGAATATTTTGTGCGGTCTTTGGATGTTTGGTGATGTTCTTAAGGTGACACACTGGTATGAGTTATGTTTTCTCATTGTACTTTTTGTTCTAAAACTGGTTTTTTTTTTTAATGAGATAGTCATATTAGTAACCTTTCCTTTATGAAGACTTCCAGTACTGACTTTTCCTAAAACTGTAGTCTCAAGAGAAGATGAGGCTTTATGGATTTTTTTCTTTCTTTCCTCTCCTGAAGTCACCACTAGTCTGAGTAAGCTATTGAAATAAGACAAACAAGCAGTTGCTTTCTTCAGTAAGGAAAAGTGATTAACCAGAATTATAATTATTGCTGTTTCCACCAATTTATTCTTGTCTTTTTTTGTGTATATGCAGAGCACAAAGTAATCATAGTGGGACTTGATAATGCTGGAAAGACTACTATTCTCTACCAATTGTAAGTATATGAACTATTTTGTTTTTCTGTTTACATTTTAGTATTCGTCACTGTTTAATCATTGAAAACTCAGCTTTGCAACCTGGTAGAATCGCTAGGGTTCTAGATCACAGTTTCTACACTAATAGTATTAGTTGTTCTAAACAGAGTAAATATTTAAAGGATAAATGAAGGAAGTGCAGTGTTTTAAAACCAAACTGTAAATTGAATAACAAAATTTTACATACAAGCACAAAGTGAACTGCAAATTCTTTTGCCATCAAAGCCTATCTGTATTTGTAAGAATAGAAATAATCCTGTTGCCAAGAACTGCAGAGAAGAAAGTGATCTCTAAATTAATGGAAATTCTAGCCACTCTGCAAAAATCCATAAATGTTCCCAAATATTTCCTGATTCCAGTGTCTAAAATTTGTGATGGAGGATTCCTCAAAATAGTATTTCGTCTTGCTTAGGTCCTACCTTAAGTATTTTCGACAGCATCATTGCACCCAAATCTTGCCAGCATTACAAGAATATCTGTGATAAATTCAAGAATATTGGAAGGAACATAATTACTATTGTAATTGTGGAAAAGGAGGAGGGTGTAGCCAAATTACTATGCATGTATTTGGATACAAAGGCAGCAGAGGATATGTTTAAAAAATCCTTTTTCCTAAGCACTTTTGACAAAGCTTGAAGGGACTGAGAAATCTGCAGCTATGTAAACAGACAATCCTTAAGAATTTGTTTTAACATTGAGTTACTAAGTTGAGTGCTCTGATAAAATTGTATTCTGATTTATATTTTGCACAGTTTAGCGTTCCCATTATTTGGGATCTTTAGAATGGCAACTTCTACTTTGAAACAGTACATTTTAAGTATCTGCTAGAGTGTCCTTTAAAAAGAGAAGCCTTTTAAAATGCAGATGCTTATCCATTTGTTACAAGCCTCTTATGTGCTTATTTTTTGCTACTGATGTCTTTAAGCATGTCTACAGTTTCTGCTACAAAAGCACACTAGAGCTTTGTCAACCATAGTTTTTAGTCCAAATTCAGAGTGAACTAATCTTTTCACTAAAAACCTGCTCTTAAATATTTGCTTTATTTCTATAAAAATTCAAATGTATAGCTTTTTGAAATATGCCTAGTTTGTTGAATTTTTTTTTTTTTTTATCAGAGTAACACATATTTACTTTTTCTACAACAAATTTGTTGTAAATTGAGTTGTGGCAAGCCTTGTGGGTTTGACTGGCTGGTCTTTATGTTCTGCTATTGTTTCCTTTAGCTTAATGAATGAAGTGGTTCATACTTCTCCAACCATAGGAAGCAATGTAGAAGAAATAGTGGTGAAAAACACTCATTTCTTAATGTGGGATATTGGAGGACAAGAATCATTACGGTCATCATGGAATACCTATTATTCAAACACAGAGGTATGAGAAGCTGTTTTGAAATCTGCTAATTCAATAAGTGTGTTTGAAATTGTATTTATTTATTAGGAATTTTGGCAGATTTTTATAAAGATTGCAGCTGTATTGTTTTTAAATCTTTTTGAGGAAGAACAAACCCAAAAAGTGTAAGGTGTCTCAGGTAAGCAGACAATTTTCTGGTAATAGTTGAAGTATTTTTACTGTATACTTTACAGTAATGGTGTTTGATCTGTGGTGTAAACTGTGAAGTTAGACTTTTTTCCTAGACAGTCAAATGTTATCAAAATACATTTCAGACCAAACAGGGTTTTTTGCATGTTTTTTCAACTATATTAAAAAGAAAATTTTGCCATGTACTTTGCAAATTCAGTGAGGATTTGCAGTGGTTAACCTAAATTCTGTATGTCTAGTCTGAAATATTTTTGAGGTAACGATAATTAAGGATAAGGAATGAAACTTTCTCTAGGCAGCAGTATTTAAGCAGCTCATCAGCTTGTGGCTTTTATCCAAAGGATAAAGGAAGTCTAGCTGTGCAGTACTCATGAGGTAACTGGTAAAGCTGTCATTGCTCAAAAGGTTGGAGTAGGACTCAGCAATGGTTGTCTTTTGGGGGTTTGTTTTTTATGCCAGTCTTTTTGATGCATGTTATGAATGCAACATGCGCATAAAATCTCTGTAGTCTCGCTTCGAGACTTCTACATTGATGTAAAAGATTTAGACTAAATTTCTTAACCATTGCTACTAAAAGTAGAGATCTCTTGTAGATATTACTCATTGTATAAGCATTCCACCCTCCTGTAAAATGAGTTTTTCTGCCTTATGCCTCCCTTTGAGAGAGGGGAGATTAGAGTGATCCACCCCAGATGTTCGGAAGCTTATCATCTGCTGAAAGCCTGGTGATGACACCTCAACCTTCATCTCTAGTATTTTAAACTTATTTTTAATTTTATCTAGAAAAGTGTGGCTGCATCTGAGACACATACACATGAGGGTGAAGACACTTCTGCCAGCATTATCTGGCACAATAACAACAAGTTCTTGACATTTGTCCATTGAGAATCTTTGATTTTTGGAATTTGGGTTGGGATGTTCTTCATCATATTCTGGCTAGTAAGTGTTTGAAATCCAGTGCTTTCTAGCACTTGGAAAGAAGAACTTGTGCCTTAGAAGTTTTGACTGCTGGAAACAGTTGAGGAAGAAAAGGGGTCTGTTTAGTATGCTAATCCTAGCCTCCCTGATATGAATAATTCCTTTACTGTTCCTCCTCATCTGCTAGACATCTCAAAGTCACAGCAGCATTAAATTGACTTAGTTTTTCATACTTTGTGGTCATTTTCAATGGGTAATGAATCTCCTAATTTTTTATGGCAAAGTGATTTGGAACATATGTTGGAGAATTATTTTTTATTACTATCTCTCTTTTCTCTCTTTCCTTATCTGTAAATTGAAGCAATCTAAACAAAATCTTTGGAGGAATGTAAAAATCCCACACATAAGCTTTTCAGTTCATACCTATCCTAGTTAGTTTCAGCTTAATATGGCTAGTTCTGTTTTAAGAGTTGGATCATATTCTTACAGAAAGGATGTTGAGACAGGCTTACAGACAAAAGATTTGGGGAGAGAGGGAAGGGGAGGGAGCTCTCATGGTTAAGTTGTTGGGGGTGAGGGCAGACAAAAAGAGTTACAGTAAAAGAGAAAAGGAAAAGGGATGGAAAAGTATTCTCATCTGGGCAGAGAAGTGATAGAGTCGCTCCAACAAATGTCATCTCCTTGGTTTCGTCTCCAGTATAGCATGTGTTCCCTGTAATTCCTTTTGTTTTGTTTTGTTTTGGGGTTTTTTAAATAGTAGCTGTATAATTTTGATCAGAATGTGCTTGATTGCCCTACTAGGTGTTGCCACATATGATGCTGTTAGCACTGCTTGGAGTGCACTCTGGGCAGGGCAAATATTGAACATTGCTGTTACGGTTTGTGTACACATACTATTTTGTAATGCTTACAAGCATTTACTTGAGTAGTACCTACTATGTAACACTACGTCTTTTTCCCCTCTAGAGTAGGGTTATAAAATAGAAGGTACAAAACAAGGGACAGAAAGAGTGGGGCAGAAGAGAGTAATTTTCATACAAGTGACAATCATTTCCCTTGGGAGACCTAGCAGTGTCTCACAATTCGTAAGTGCATGGCCATGAGAATAATGTGCCTGGCAGGAACAGTAAGGGTAAAATCACTGCTATAGCCATCCCCAAGTGCCTAGGTGGAAGGGTGCAAGGTTTTAAGTGAGAGGCCAACTGCACAGGCCCTTTGTGTTACAAAGGTTAAGGTGTGCAACAACGTAATGCTAAGCCCTACAGGTTACATAGTACATCAGACCTCAGAAAGCTACTTTGAAATAAGGTTTCTTAAGCCTTGTGGATAAGATGATGCTGAATTGCTAAAAATTCTTCTTTCAAAATAAGGAATTTCAATTTCAGTTTTATAGTTTTCTGAGTATGCAAGTAGTAGTGGACAGTAATAGCTGTTTTCATTGATAACTGTGTAGCAAGTTTGTCAGCCACATTTTAAGCGTAATCCACTATCTGTAGGTGCTTTTGCTACCTACATCACTATTTTGCTTATGATGTAGGGCCTGAAAATCCACCAAGGAGATTTAACCATAGTATATGAAAGTAGATCTTAATAGCAGTGCTGAAATGTACAAGCACAATCATTTTTTGGTTTTGTTTTTTTTTTTTTAAACTATAATCGTCATGTATGATTTCCAGGGCTCTAGCAAAAGACTGTAGCAATAAACCTCTTGTTCTATTTTCTAGTGTGCTCTGAAAGTCTATTTGTCTCTTATGTAGGGAGACTTGTAGTAGAGGTCTCTTGAAAACGTGCTTTCTGTAATTTATACTTTGTACTTACATACTGCACTATTGTTTTTTTTCCCCTAGTTCATCATTCTTGTTGTTGACAGCATTGATAGAGAGCGACTTTCTATTACAAAAGAAGAACTTTATAGAATGCTGGCTCATGAGGTATGGTGGGGAGTTGGGATAATAGTTTTCTTTTGTGAACAGTCAAATAACATTACATGCTTCCTATGTTAGCAAAAATTATACTGTCACAAAAAAATTTCTGAGCCTAAATATGCGTGCATGTTGGTCACATTTTAAAGCCATGTAAATTATAAATAAACAGGAAAATTATTGTGAAGCAATCTTCTAATAAGGCTTGCTTGATTGTAATCAAATCACTCTTTACTTTGCAAATGTTGAACTTGTGAAATATCTTAAACTTTATTAATGTAACTGGGTATTATTATTCACCAGCACTATCTTTCTTCTTCAGTTAAATGGTTAAAATTTCAAGAAACTGAGAAACTTTTTTTTAAATTTTTATTTTAGAAAGTAGGCAATTCCATTTCTCTTTCTTGTTTGTTTTAATCATTTCCTTAAAATTAAGGAGCATACCTAATACTACGGATAAATTAGTTTCGGTTCAGTTTCTTTCTGAATTACTTTGTAGTTTTATTATTATGTGTTGTATTGAGGACTGTTCAACATTGGGTCAACTCCCTCAAACATCCTAAATTAACATCTACCTTGGATTAGCTAAAGTACATTAAAACCTTCTGTGATCACTCTCAAGCTAAGTTAGGGTTGTTTTAAGTCTCAATATCTCCCTTCATTTTTGAAGGAAAAGGCTTTAGTACAATGCAGGTAATTCTGTGGAGTTCACTTCTCTGAGATTTGCATTGTATCAAGTAAGTGAGGCTTTTACTTGATAGTTAATATTAATGTAGTTTGGGTCTGGTAGTAAGGAGCAAACACACTACCAAAAAAGGTGGAAAGATGACTTTTTGTGGTCAAGTTTTCCCATGTAATTTATTAGTTTCCAGTGTTATAAACTCTTACGAGATTATGATCAATCATCTCTTGAAAACAGTCGGTAGGCCTAGACTGGACTACTTGTAGGAGTGAATTTTCAACTTTGGACCATAAAGGTTTTGGTTTTTTTCTCTTGATGGAGAAATAGTCTCAAAATTTGATATACATTTAAATGTGTTGAACACTTTTAATTACAACTGTCAGCTTTCTGAGTATTTTATTTGTTTACCCTTCTGCACTCCTAAAGCCATACGTCCCAGTTCTTGTCTCATTGTTCTGTGGAATCCTAATTTCTGTACAGAAACAAACCAACTTTTTATTAGTTTTTATTAAAGCTGCTGCAGTATTATTAGGGCTCCCTTTTTGGAACAATAGGAAAAAACTTACAAGAATTTACATAGCTTTCTTAAATTATTACTGCTTTAATGACTACATAACTTGTTTAATGAAGTTGAAAGTAATTTCAAGGGAATGATATCTAGCAGGCTTTTCCATTTGAGTAGTATCTAATGTAGGTTTTGGAATGTTTATCCAGTAATAATTCTGCTGGCTGGATGGTTTGGAGCTTTATGAAATATATTTTAACAAGACTTTCATTAGTTAACATGTGGTCAACACCAAAAGGGTAGTTGTGTAATATGTTATAATTTGATTCTCTGTGGTGGAGAACGCTTCTGAATAAATTTGTTTCTTCAGTCCTAATGCAATTAATTTTTAATGCAGTAAGTCTGTTAAAACTCCATGCTGCTGTGTAATTGTAGATTAGCTTGAATACAGTTCTTTAAGAATTTCAGTTAAAGAACTAAAAGGCTCTTGCATTACAATAACTATTATGAACACTCTAAATTACTTCTAGGATTTACGGAAGGCTGCAGTTCTCATCTTTGCCAACAAGCAGGACATGAAAGGTTGCATGACAGCTGCTGAGATATCTACATACCTCACTCTTAGCTCCATAAAGGATCACCCATGGCACATTCAGTCCTGTTGTGCTTTGACAGGAGAAGGGTAAATGCTTAATGCTTAGTATAATAATCTATGGTAAATAAGAATACTGATTTAGAAGCCTATTGACAGCAAAGTGGATCTCCTGAAAGAACATATTTTCTGATCTTTGCAATCAGAAAGACATTTTGAATTTTTGCTTTTCTTTATTGAACCTTGTGGACTTTTTTTCATAGCTCAAACTCCAAATTTGTATGAAAGTCTTTCAGCTTACTGTTTAAAGAGAAGAAAAAAGCCAAAACAAAACCCAAACAACAACACAAAAAAAAAAAAAAAAAGACCAACACCCCCCCACACCCAGATATGTAGCTGTTGACACAATTGTTTACTCTTTGTGCACTGCCCTCTCATTCTGTGTGTCTTTGTGTAGTTAAAGAAATAAGCTACTGTCATCTTCCTTCACATTCTGATCTGCTGTAAGCTTCTAAGTTTGGGGAGGAGTGGGGGGTGGTTTTCATTTTTCTTTGTGGTTGTTTGGGTTTTTTGATAAACATTCAAACACAGTTTTGATTAAAAGGTACATAGATATAGCATGAAACAAAATTGTTACCAATATTAAACCTTTTATTTATATCTGGCTGATGTAGCTAATTTTGAAACTTGTATACCTTACGCCAGCAACTACTAAAATGGAAAACTGAGCTTTCCTTAGATCCTTTGTCTATAAAGATCAAAAAATGGTTTTGGATGCCTGTAACAAGTTGGATAGTGTCTGGCTGACATGGCTTGAAGTGTACTAATTTTTCATCTTTATTGAAGCAGTCTTCTAATGTGTAATATTTAGAGGTTTTTTTCAGCTGTGTTGTACAACCTTTACAATAATATAGTCTTGTGACATGAAAAATAGTGAATCCAGCTGAGTATTTGGGAAGTGAGAGCATCTTCCTCATTTCTAGCATGAAGTATTTTCTAATGTAACAGAGATGTCTTGTAGAGTGATTGGTAGCATTCGCTTCCTTAAGGTGGGATGTACTAGTGAAAACAAAGTGTTTTTTTGATTAAGTCTTTGGATCGTATTGTTTTGTTCTAAGAGTTAACTCTGCTTTCCTCCTACCAATTTTGCCAAAGTCACTTTTTAGTAGTTTATGTACTAACTTAGATCTTCAAATAAGTTAGCATTTGGAGAAAGGTAGAAATTAATGAATATGAACTTGGAAACATTGGCCATCCTAGGATGCTTGTTTCTTACTTAAAAAAGAAGAGTAATTAGAATACTTAGTAGTATAATAGTATATTAGTAGTATAGTAGTGAGACCAACTCAAAAAAATTCCCAGAGTTAAACCGCTGAGCTGAATCTTCGTTGGGAAGATCTGACAGACATCTAGGGAGATTAGCCCTGTGTGAGTGAAGCTAGCCCTCTTGGGTAGCAAAGTCATGATATACTTTACAAAGGTAAAGCCTAAAGATAGCATAAACTAGGTAACTAGATCTCTAGAACATCAAAGGAAAGCCTATGTTCTGAAGTGGAAGACTTTTAGAGATGCAAATTGAGTGAGTAACCAGGTTAGATCCCATGCAATCTTGGTGTTGAACATAAACATATATTTAATTTTGTAATGGGATTTTGGAATTCTTGATAGACTGCCTTTTTGTGAACCAATTCAGCCTGGGTACATGTTCCCTTTGTCTTTTAGTATTAGTATGTAAAGGTCTAACTTTTCAAGTAAGCAGTCTTTCATGGGAAACCTGTAGAAAAAGAAAAACTTATTTGGTTCCATGTACTTCTGAGTAAGAATAGCGTCTTTTAGATTTTCAAGGAAAAAAAACTTGAAAGAGTACCAAGCTTCAATAAAATAACACGCTTGACCATCTTCTTGTAGTTAAAGCCTGAGTAGACTTAGTTTAAAACAGTTTACTCTGTTCAGGTTTCAGTCCCAATTCCAGCTGATTTTATTTATTATAAGTAGATGTTTTTAAACATAAAACCAAGTAGAAAATACTTTAAAGATGTTGGAACAGAACTAGTACCAATATAACATGTCTTATCTTTCAGATTATGCCAAGGCTTGGAGTGGATGACGTCCCGTATTGGAGTGAGATAGCT